TTTCGTGGATAAGGAAACAGAGTTTTGGGCACTCCCCTAATGACATCAATTAGCCTACATAATTAGTTTTATTTGTTAAGCGCAGAGATTTGTTTCAAAACTATTTCTAAATTCAGCTCTAATTTCCAGCAAACTAATAAATGAACAATAATAACGGAGTGTGGTCAAAAAACTGAGTTATAGGCTGTAACTGAGTTATAAGCTGAAGGATAGTGAGTGAGTATCCCTTATTATGGGTATTGCAATAAGTGGTAAAATATTATTTGATATGGGCGACACGGTGGCTCAGTGGTTAGCACTGTCACCTCACAACAAGAAGGTCGCTGATTTGAGTCCCGGTTGGGTCAGTTAGCATTTCTATGAGGAGTTTGCATGTTCTCCACGTGTTCTCGTGGGTTTCCCTTGGGTGCTCCGGTTTTCCCTACAGTCCAAAGATATGCGGTATAGGTGGAATAATTGGCTGTAGTGTAGGAGTTTGAATGAGTGTGTATGGATGTTTCCCAGTACTGGGTTGCAGCTAGAAGGGCATTTACTGTGTAAAACATATATTGGATAAGTTGGCGGTTCATTCCGCTGTAAAAACCCCTGATAAATAGGGGACTAAGCTGAAGGAAAATGAATAAATGTATATTATTTGATTAAAACTGCCTTCTGAAGCCATGCTGCAAACCAACATGATTAAACACCCAGATTCACATTTTGTCATTGATAACTGACATCTGTGCTTCACCTCTTTTAAAAAAATATAGCACCAGCGGCTCCGTGTAAGCATGTTTGATGTGACCAAGCCTACGCAAACCTGCACACCTCTCCACATTTTCTGCCACGTTTTTTGGGGGGAAATCTGCATAATTGATTTAAACGCAGTCAAATTTGTTCTGGCAGATAAAAAATTATCATTTGCCAATTTATTATATAATAAAAAAAACATGCAAAGGGCAGACCAAGTTGATGATGGACTTCTGAATTCTGCAGGAATCTACAAGAAAATGGTTTTATTTACAGATTTATTTATTTTTTTCCAGAAAAACCTGTTTCTCCAACAATTTAACCCCTTACAGACAAGGAAATATATAAAAAATAATGAAATTATAATGAAATTTAAAAAAAAATTAAAATAAATAGTAATAATTAAAAGAAAAGAATACATATAAATAAATAAAAGGTACTGCCATTATAATTAATTTTCTGGGGATACATTTGTACATCAAGTTACGTTGTGTTACTTTGTACTTACCTTAAACTACAGTGGTGATAGGTTAAGTAATCTCTAAATATACATATCTAAATATATCGTAATACTTTTTCACCTCTTCAGAAAAGTATCAGTCTTCATTTGTAGACATGCAGTCATCATTTTCCCATTATATAGACCTGTTTAAGTCTCTCCACTGAGCCACCTTTTGAGAACCTTCTTCCATTCAATGTACTGTATAATTGTTTTTGCCAACCAATAATAGTATTATTAGGACAAATCTTGTTTCTTCATTATAAATTTTTCTGGGCATTGCTCACAGTAAGCACATAACTGGATCAAGGGGTATTTCTATATCTAACATCTTATCTATTTCTTTTTTTAACATTTTTTCAAAATTCTTGAATCTTAGGACAGGCCCAAAAATGTGTGTAGGATCTCCAATTTTACCCAATTTTCTCCAACACAAAGCAACAGGTGGTCCCTTTACATATGTAGAAATTACAAAAGGAGTATTATTTTTACTTCCAATGAAATTCTTTCCAAAATTGACTAAAATTGCTTTATGACATCCTTTAAAAACAATAACTCAATCCAGATCTCATCCTCAATTATGGTATTTAGTTCTAGTTACCATTTTCCTTTAACATGATCTGTATTTTGTACTGTACATACAGCTGTTTTTCCCTCAAGTATCTGTACATAGTCAGAGAAAACGTTTACTTTTACTTCACATCCAAAACAAAATACTGCACTTTTTACTCCACTGTCCACCTTTTTACACTTGACTACTGCATTTCAGACTGTGGTTTTCACTTCCATTTTGTGGAAGTTTCATTCAAAAGAACTGAAACAAATCCCATAATAAGGTTGTGCTACAAATAATCCATACCCATGGTGAAAGCGGTGAAAGGTGTGTTTGGCTATGTGCTGTATTTTTATCCTGTCATGAAAATAACTTTACGCTTGGTGTTTTAACGTGACCGTAGTATCACAAGCCTGTCTGTGGCGAAAGCTCTTTTGGGTTTACTGTGTGTTGTTACTTCCTTCTTTTTGTATTCTCTTATATTCGGGATTTGTCTGTAATGTTGCTGCTGGAGTTTCCCAGTTTTTTGGGATTATTCATGGTCTGCTAAAAGTAATTTGTTAATTCTAATAAGTTGACTTAATAAACTGTGAGGAGAATAATGACAACTTATTGTAGCCAGTTTTTAAAAACATTTAAGTGACTTTTTTTTATTTTATTTTTTTTATACAGTTAGCAGTTGATTCACGCAAAACATCATGGAGCGTAGGGAAAACATGAATACAGGACCAAAATGTAGTAAAAATTAAATTTGAAGTGGAGAATATGAGTTGTGAACAAGCTAAATCTTGTCAGTAAACCTGTTAAATCAGTTCACAGTTATTTCAAAAGGTCCAGTTTGCATCTAATTCAAGTCAACAAATTTTATGCTTTACATGGTAAATTCAGAAACAGGGGATCCTCTCAACTCAACTGCCTGCGACTGATGGCACTAAATGTTAGCTATAATTCTTGAATTTAAGGATTTTTCATTGCAAATGGAATTCATATTTAGGTCACGACTGTTGGTTGTTTGTGAACAAAATCTGCTGTAAAAGGTCAAGCTGTTTAAGCCCTCTGCATAAAATGGTTGAATGTTGACATGTCCATATTTATGGAGTGTCATCTGAATGGGGTGTAGGTTTATATGAAATAAATATATATATATATATAAAATGAAACCAGTTAATGGTAATATTCAATTCAATTCATGTTTATTTATTTTGTGCTTTTAGAATGTAGATTGTGTTAAAGCAGCTTAACATAGACGTTTTAATACTTTGTAAACTGTGTCAGTCCAGTTTTCAGAGTTGAAGTTCAGTTTAGTTAAGTTCAGTGTGGTTTAATTTTCACTGCTGAAAATTTAGGAGCCATAAATGAGAAGGCTCAACCTCCTTTTGTAGACTTTGCTATTCTAGATATTACCAGAAGCCCTGAGTTTTGAGATCTTAAAGAGCGGGTTGGATTTTAGCAAGACAGAAGGTTGGTTAGATCAATGGTTCTCAAAGTGGGGGTCGGGACCCCCCGAGGGGTCGCGGGACAATGAAGGGGGGGTCGCCTGGTGGTTTCCAAAAATCTATTTATTTTTATTAAGCCATAAGAATTACCATATTTTATCCATAACCTACTGAAGAGAAAAAATATCGTTGTTTATACCATATATAGTTACTATAGTATAGCTTATAGTTATTACTTCTATTGGATTGCAACCCCTGCGGTAATTACATTGTATTAAAGACACAGCAATAGCGTCAGATGCAGCAGATTTCATAACACCTGGTTAAACTTTGTGGCCCATTTACAGCTCTCATACATTAAAAAAATTAAAAGAAGAATAGACTTTGGTTCATTGGTGTGTGTGCGCCATTGCATGCAAGTTTTCTGTATTTATAACCACCTCAGAGGATATTGGGGGTCGCGAGTCACTGGCATTGTCATTTTGGGGGTCGCGGCCTGAAAAGTTTGGGAACCCCTGGGTTAGATAACACAAAGCTAAATTATTGAAAGCTTTATAGGTAAGAAGCAATATTTTATAAACAATATGCAACTGGCAGCCAGTGTAAGGAGGATAAAATTAGAGGGATATGATCATATTTTCTAGACCTGGTGAGAACTCTGGCTGTTGCATTTTGCACTAGCTAAAGTTTGTTGGAGGATGCTGGGCAACCAGCGAACAGAACATTACAGTAATCCAGCCTAGAAGTCATAAAAGCATTAACTAGCTTTTCTGCATCAGAGATGGGTAGCATACTTTGTAATTTAGCGATATTTTTCAGATGAAAGAAGGCATCAATAAAATTAGACATACATTTTTCTTGGAAAATAAATGAATATTTTTTAAATACTTGTAAAACTTAAAGGGTTAGTTCACCCAAAAAATAAAAACTCTGTTATTAATTACTCACCCTTGTGTTTTTCCCAACCTTTGAATCCTTCATTCATCAGAAAACAAATGATGATATTTTAGATGTAATCTAAGAGCTCTTGTTCTCCACAAACTTCATGGATTAAAAGACGTTTAAAGTCCCAAAAAGGAACCAAAAACTTGTCAAAACAAATTTGTATTGCCAACATATTGCAATTAGAATGAGCAGCTCAACACACAACCATCATATTGTCTATAGTAAATACAAACCAGGACCTGACAATGGAAAGAAAACATAGGTGAACAAAGTTTTATTTGATTTAGTTTATTTATTTATTTTTTACAGTGTTCTTGGAGTGTTCTTTGTATGATTACAAAGATATTCTCAAAATATTACTTGTGTATATCAGTGAGTATATCAGATATCAGAGGTTCAGTTGTAATCATACAAAGCTCAAAGAACACTTTTGTTTTCCAAAAAAACTGTAAAATAAATAATACTTATTGTCATTCTCTCGTCTTATTATACCTCTCATCTTATTATACCTATGTTTTCTCTCCATCGTCAGGTCCTGGTTTGTGTTTACTATGGACAACATGATGCTTGCATTTGTACTGCTGATTTAAACAGCAATAAATTGGTAATAAATATGTTTCCTGGAGTTATATTTCATTAGCATATTGCTTGATTTGTATACTTCATTCACTGTTTCTGGCTAACAACTAGAGCTGTTGTTGACAGCGTGTCTGCGACTGTGTGAGCAGAACTGTTTTCATCTTATTTACGTTTTACTGTAAGCTGTTATGTCCTTATTACCTCCAGATTGCACCTGAAATGTTCTGTTTTTTTTTCTCTCTCTGTTTGTCTCTCGCAGGTGTTCCAGGTAAGCCGGTGATAACAGGTTTCGAAGGTGCTGTTCAGGAGGGTGGCAAGGTAACTCTTACCTGCACGAGTTCAGGCAGCAAACCTCCTGCCAAACTACACTGGTACCGTGACCATGTGGAGATTCAAGGTATATATACACATACACTGTTAAAAAAATGCTGGGTTCCACACATTTCCTCCATGTTGTCCCAAAACAAATCGATTAATGCCGAGTTTACACTGCGCGATTTTCAAGCAGTCGTGTCGCTGATGTTATCTGGGGTAGCGTTCTGTTGCTGCTGTGTTTACACTGCAAGATGGATCAGCGACAGGGGGTTTCACACTGTATGACTTTAAAATAGGAAGAATCACTGAAAACTTTGTCCAACACACTTGAAAATTGATAGGAAAACAGCGCGAGGTCATGTAGTAAATCTTTAGTTATTAACTACATAATGAGAAAGAAGCTTTTAGGGGGGTAGGAAATCTACTTACTTTGCTCACCTATAGGTTTGAAGGGAATTACCAATTTCTCCTCAATTTTTTTCCTTTTCGACCCGGTTGCAAAATTTTTCAAGTCACACATCAAACAGACACACGTGCTGCTGCTGCCAAATTTACACTAATTTTTTTCTCCATTTATGGGTCCAAATAGACCGAAAAGAAGGCCTTTTAACTTCTCCCATCCTCCTGCTGTCCTGTAGATACCCATTCTAGTGGATACTGCTCTCTCATTGGCTATAGGTGATCACAGATGTTATGTTCAATCAGAACACATTTCACACGGCATGATTTTGAATCTGCGACAGGTCCTGATATTTAGCATACCAAATATCTCACTGGATCGTCAACTCACTGGCGATTCTCTCAGATCGAGTCTTTGATAGTTCACACTGTGTGATTGGTACTTAAGTGAACGAGCACCAATTTGCTTGTGATTTTGGCCATTTGTCTGCGATTTCTCAAAACCTGTTGGTGAGTCAAAATCTGGGCTAAAATCATGCAGTCTGAACTCACCATAAGTAACTTTATTGTTAACTTGTATAACATGTAAGTTAAACTCAGGAATTGTGTAGATTCAACTCATTTTAAAAACGTAGTTTGAACAATATTTTTGAGAGTACACAGAAATCTTCTCAGAAAGTTTTTGTTTTTGTTGTTCTTGTTGAAATGCACTTGTTAGTTTTTGTTTGCACCAATCTTGATTTTTCATATAACTTGATTTATACTAAACTTGAATCAGTTCAACTAGAACTTATCCAGCATCTATCCAACACATTATTTCAGCAATTTGCCATTTTTGCACGATCTCAGTTGTTCATTTTAGTGTGATTTTAGCTCATCAGCCAGTGAGGGCTCAGGTTAGGGGTTGGGTTTGGGCACATGCCTCCTTTTGTAAATGTTGTTGTATGAATTTGTATGAATTAGCCTTTTCTAACAGTATGTAAAATAGTTTAGAGACTGGGCAATTCTCTTCCACTATTTCCTGCCTGCCTTAGAATTTTGAACAATCTGAAATAGAGCTAAGATTTTACACCTGATTTTATGCTCTTTTCTTCATCTATGTTAAGCTGCTTTGACATAATCAACTTTGTAAAAAGCATTACAGAGTATAGACTATAGAAAGACTCAATTTTTTTTTTTTAATTCTCGCAATTTTTTTTCGAAACTAAATATTAATTTTTAATCTATATAACCCCAGGACTAGGGGAAAACAACATGGGCATAATAAAATAAGAAAACAAATTTGTTGGGGTAGTGGATTTCCCCAAAAAAATAAAAACTTAATACTAAAGATTTCCTTCGGTCGACCACCAAACTCAGACACCCAGTTAAAAGTAGATATGAATAGATTTATAGACAAATGTAATAAATATAAATGAGCATCTCTTCAGGGTGACCACAGGCCAAAATAACAAACAAAAGAATCTATAAAGTAAATGCACTAAATTACCTATTACTATTTAAAGAAAAATACAGGAAGCTTACCTTTCTCCCTAAACATACTGTAAACATAGTCAAAAGTAATTAAATAAATAGGCAGGCCAGTCCTACAAGCTCAAACTCTCAAAATAAGTTAACGTATGAACAATGGTACAAAATTGATTGTTGGGCGTTGGCCGGAGGGGTAAGGGAAATCCAGGAGCTCCACTCCCAGCACCGAACGCAGCACAAATGAGCTCCCCGAACCCTGCCGGAAGCTCCTTTTTATACAGGCCTCCGAGACCAGCAGCCAATCAGAACACGAGATCACACCGGTGTGGGAGCCTATGGGATAATAGAAAACAACAACAAGAAGGCGGTATGAAGAAAAATACATGCAGTTCGCAATAATAAATAAATAAATAAACCGTAACAGAATCACTTAACCACACTATAATGAAAACTGTCATTTAAAACTATCCTTTAAACCGTAAATAATAAGTTACTGTTCTCTATAACTCTGAAAACATCATAAAATAAGGTATTCAATCAACAATGGTCAAAATTTGTTTAATTTAATGGAGAATATCTTGTGTTTTTTCCCCTGTGACATCTGAACTATCAATACAGTATGACTCCTGGCTCTTCAATGCTGTGTCTCTTTTAACCCTTCATTTACATACACTTTGTGCTACAAAATTATTGTAATGCATTTTGTATGCAAGCCCAGAACAGAGATTGGAGTTAAAAACAAAGCAATGTCTGGTTGCCGATTGTGTGTTTGAAGCAAAAACTGTTAAACGGTGCTTATAAGTTTTTGTTTACATATTGAAGCTCACTTAAACTGGCAGTTGCTTGGAGTTTTATTTCAGTATGTTGATGTACATTCAACTGGAACTGAATATTGATTTGGGGGTGGGGCTTTCTTTCTGTGCATCATTCCCTCATAGCAAACTAATGATAAGAGGGGCATTGTTAAGATTATTGCTACTGAAGCATCAGAGCTTGATTGAAGATTCCCAAAACAGTGTTTTTTTTTGTTTTTTTTTGTTGTTGTTGGATTAAATAGCATGGATTAATTGTTCACCTAAAAATAACTATGTGCACTAGAAAAATAGACATTGTAAGTTGTGATTTCACATGGTCTCTAA